AAATGCTACAGTTTATTTAGCATGGTGCTAATCATGTTTTTAACTTTAAAAGTCAATAAAATTTGTAAATTATTACCAACCTAATAGAAATTAATTCACTCACTGTCAGAACACTTCTATTAGAGGCTCTGCTGTGCACAACAAACAAGTTCAATGATTCTAGGCAAACACTACAGAAAATGATATATTTGCTCGAGCAAACAAAAGGAAAAGTAAAACATGTATTTTGAGGTTATCAAATGCAATACATACTTTTCTGATTTTATGGAGTTAAATCCATTCCATCCTGAAGCGACATGAGATTTATCTAAGCATATACCAAGAACAGATATTACCAATTTTTTTTTTAAAGCAGGAATTATTTTTATTGTTATAACTCACAGCAAATTAGGGAACAAACCCTAAATTTATTATAAACAAAGGGATATTATGCCAGTTCATTTCTTTTCTATGTTGACACAGAAATATGTATTGTCAGCCCCTCTTAAACTGACCCAGTGCTTTGGCATTTGAGAACTTCTGGTTCTCCTGAGGAAAGACAGTGGTGTGAAGATTTTTGAGTTCATGGGAAGACTGAATGCTTACAGTTATGGGCCAGGCATTTGCAAATTTGCATGTTTTGAGGAAGTACAAGCTAACAGTTGTTTTTTCTCTATGATTTGTCACTGGTCCTTGTTGGCAGCAGCCTACTGGGCAAAGCAGTAAGAGCCCTAATAGGCTGTTCCTATATTTTAAGTAGATCAGGCACATCAGGTGTCAAGTGGTGCCTCAGATGGCAGTTTACATATTTCCTTGTTTTAAAAGGTGATGATTAGCTCAAATAGAAGGAAACTGAAATCAATTTATTGATTTCCCTTATATAATCATTTATCTTCTTTTGTTGGGTAAGAACAGGAACAGGATTGTAGCAGTTTCATAATATTTAAGAACCAAAAGAGAATATTTCCCCAGCCTAAGAGCTGTGCTAAAGCTAAGCATTTATTTGATGAGAGATGCTTATTATAATCGCTTTTTAACGATTTGCTCAGCAATTAAAATCAATCATGCTGTTTAATTTCTCTTAATATGGATACTTCAGATATGCGCTTTATATGAAACTCTTCCTTCAAAACTTGATTAGCTGTTTTTAATAATCTCCATTACTCCTGAATCCTTCAACACACAAAATATTACTATTTTTTTCACTCACATCTATTTTTATTTCAGTTAAATTGCTGGTCCAGAGATGTACAGCATATATTATGCTCTCCTCTGTGTATTTTTAATTTATCTCTCTTCACATTCTAGCCAGACTCTTTGGACAACCAAAGCTGTATAAATGTCAGTTAAACCTCTTTATGTTTGTGAAGTGGAACAATCTCAGTCTATTTACATAGCTCCTGTTACCTTAGTTTAATGCTAAGATGCCACTGAAAATCCAAACTCATGCTTTGGTAGTGCATAACTTCTTACTTTCAATTCCTCTTTTTCCACTGAACTTCATGAATCTTATAACACCAAATTCCAGGTACATCATCAAAACACTTGGCTGTGGCTTTGGAAGTGAAGTTTGAATTTCAATTTCATGCTTGACCACTGCAGTCACACAATTGGGTAAGAAAGGGGAGGGGCAGAAGACTCCTCTGAGATGTCTTGTGCCTCATCTCATGCTGCAGTGACACAGATCTCATGAGAGTGGTCTTGCTCCTGCAAGTCCTGGCCACTTCTGATCCTGCCAGGCATGAGTGCAGGAATGTGGGAATTCTGGTCTGAGGTCTTCATGAAAGCATGAGCCTGTTCGGCATGAAATGCTAGACACAGAACAATTTCTAGAACTGTAGAATCAAGGGCCATATTTCCATGGCATTGTGATTTGAAAAAAAAATAAAAATAAAAAGAAGGCTTAAACCAAAAATGGGACAGCTGAAGTGTATGAAATTTAAACTGTTAAGTAAGCTTTCATTTCAATAATACCGTTTTTCATTTTCTGACCTTTTCCCATCCAGGCTTGATAATCTCTTGGATAGCATTAGAGAAGGCAAAGGTTACAAGATTTAACTGATATCCAATATTGTCAGTGTTAAAACCTTTGAAATGCTTTCTTTAGAAAGATGCACAAAAAAGGAAAATGAAAAACTGCAAATATTTTTTTTCCCTCATTCATCTGTCTTCAGGGCTTTTTGCTACTTGGAGCTTGAAACACAGACACAGCAAGCAGGCTAAGCAATCTCCTCAAGTCCTGGCAGACCAGCAATACATAGCTCATTATATTGTTTTCTTGTGTCAAGTCCAAATTTCAGTCATCAGCAGCTAGCTATGGCACATGTTTTTGAATCAGAAGGCAAAAACAGATGGAAAAGAATGAAGAATCTCAAAACAGATAAAATCTATTTGTTTTTAACTAATGTGAACAATGTAGACTTTTCCCCATCAGTGCCAGAAACACTGGTGAGATGCACTGATGAGTTCATCAGTATTGTTATTTATTATTCTATTAGTGGGAAGGCAGGATGAGGAGAGAAAAAAAAGAGTAAAGAGAGTGAGAGTGAGTGTACAGGTTCTTCAGTATTTAGAGAGAAAAACAATGATGCCTGCTCAGTCATTATCACTTCTAAAATGTCACAGTATCCTGGCATCAGGACAATAGAAGTTGAGCAACACAGGATTTAGATAATCCTGGTTTCAGAATCATAGGGCTAGAGGAGATTGTAAGAAGTTATCCAATTTATCTCCACATCACTAAGAAAAATCAGCTTTTCTTGCATCATTTCTCAGTGCCTACCTTGCCTATTCTTAAAAATCCTTCTTTATGTAGATGCTGGACAACAAAGATACTTAATTTTGTCCTTGTCAGTAGAAAACTCTTGCTAATGTTTAAGCAGAATATATTTTAAATGCTTGCTATGCATCCCAACCATTATAAAAGCAGACACTAGACACTTCTTCCTAGGTCATCACTTCTGTAATAACAATACTAACAGTAAAAAAAACCCTCTTCTTGGTCAAAGTGCAGGAAAGCTTTCCCCCCTTCAGCTACAAAAGAACAAATATAAACAAATACAATTGAACAAAGGGCATTTGGACTGAATAAGAAGGCAAAATGAAGCAGTGGAAGATCTGAGTCTAGGACAGATCTTAGTGCCTTCATGAAGATACTGAAAGAGGCGATTGTGCACCACAATGTATTCAGTGTACAATCAGAGGTCTTGAGTAGGAACTAATCTGCAGGTCTGAGCTCCATTTGATAATCCAGAGCAACACTCAGGGTTTCCTGCTCTTCTGGTTTTAACAATCATTCTGTACTTCTACTATCTACATCTCAGCTCTTTCAGGAAACTGACACTGACACGCACTGACCAAAAATATAAATATATATGCATTAATATATATACAAAGACAAAATATTTTAGTTAAGGAAATTTTTACGTTAAAATAATAACAAAGTGTTACTCCTTACTTTTAAGATACAGTGCTTTTGTCATCCATTATATCTTTTGGGTGGATCCAACATTAAAAACATTGTATGCACATATATATATAAAAGCATATATATAAGCATATATGTAGCCTATATATATATATTAGCATAGCTGTTTAATTACATATAATCATATAACATAATAATAGATACAGTATAATAGTATTATATGATAAAATAAGAAAGGGTTTGAAAATATCTAATGTATTAATAGTAAGTATATAAGCAGCCACAAGTAATGATAGAAGAACTTTGTTCTTAGGAAATCTTGCAATTACAAGATCATTCTTTTATATTGTTACTGAAATATTTGATAGGAATACTTTAAGTGAACCAGGGAATGGTCAGAAAAACAAAAGCAAGGAGGTAAAGTTGAGATTAAATCTCAAATACAGTTACCTAAAGAAGGAACACAGCCTCCTCAGAAGATTGTTGAAATCCCTGAACAAAGGCTGCCAGTGAGACTGTCAAGGGAGTCAACCACTCACTGGACTTTGGTGCTGCCAAAGCACGGGACTGCCCGAGAAGGTAAAGGAAAGTGGGCCTGTAGCTGTTTGATAAAAGGATGGCCACTGAGTTTCCTCATGTATCAATTAATAAATGACAACTCCCACCTAACTTTTTAGAGATACCTAAAGGTGTATATTGCCTACTGCTCTCTCTATTTGCTAGCTCATGCTTTAATAACTCTCCTCACAGCCTTCTTTGATATGACTTTTGATACTACCTACTAATCCACACAACATTAACATAACCATTTTTATTACAAATAACTGCAACAAACTTTTCAGTATTTTGGTCTCTGTCATCAGGAAAGGAAGCATTTCCTGCTCAGAGAAATACTTGTTTTGGTGATCAAAGCAATACAACAAAAACACAGAGATCAGCTCTCTGAAAATCCTTCGGCCATCCAAAAATAGTGTTTTATAAGCTGTGTAATATACTGATCCCAGAGATACGCATCTAGGACTTTAGCAGTTTATTATTTCTTCTTTGCCAGTGCTGCTGAATGATATCTCCCAAGCTTCTGCATATATAAAAAATACGTTTCACTTTTAAAATGTTTTATCTTCACATTTAACTTTTAGTTCTCTCATGGGAAACAATATATATTAAGAGATTACTTCATACTTCAGAGCTAGAGAAGGTTTAAAGCTTGAGTCTCTGACCAGACACTGCATTAAAAGGAGCATTTTATAAAGACCAAACTCATACAAAAATCCATACTCTTTTTGTACAACCGTATTTTGTAAATGCCAATCCAGCTTCTTTTCCAGTGTTTAGGTGCTGCAAATTTGAGGGAAAAATGTCTGAAGAACATTGGAATTCTTTTTTTTCTTTTTCCTAAACAGAGATGCTGGGAGATTTTATTTACTGTGTACAGGCGAAGCCTGAGAGAAGGGAACCCACGCTCATTTAATTTTCAAACTAATTTTGACACAGCCACAGGGAAACACCACACCTGACTGGAATAGAAGCTGTTTTAGCAAAACTTGGCTTGCAATAGACAGAAAACAGACATAAGTGAGCCGGAAAGCGATACCTTCCTACGAGATCCTCTCCATTCCAGCAGGGGAGCCCGTCGGCGGCTGCCAGCTCGTTGGCGCACAGCTGATCCGCCAGGCCGCTGTAAAAGGCTCTGTACGGCCGCAGGAGCCTGATGAACTCCCTGCACACGGGGACACCAGAAACCATCGTCACTGCCAACCAACAGCACTGAGCTGCCCTGCTGCTGTGCACCTCTAAAACATAAGGAATGTCTTCATTCCATTACTCTGCACTGGTTCCGGTGGTATTTGAAATCGATCTGTCAATAGATGAGTTTGATTCTTTTACATACACTTCATTCGTTTGAAAAGCTGATATTCACACTGGTAAAATTAAAAAACCCTACTTTACATATGCTCTGGAACAGGAACTATTTCTTTCAACCTGAAATTTTCTTGCATTGTAGGAATGCAGTTTGCAATGCTATAGTTGGACAAATAGATGAAAAAATGTTCCAAAAAAAACGCATGGCAAATAAAAAAATAGATGCAGATGAATAAGTCTCCTGTTTTCCAAAAGTGCTGACAAAAAGTCCCCTACTTATCTTTACAAATACTACAAAATTTTAAAGTTATCCAGCAACTCAAGATTCAGGTAAAATGGGCTTAAGATGTAGGAGTTCAGTATATAGTAAAGATTTAAATAACCATCTGAAGAATTGTATCAGTTCTACCATGTGCTGTGCTGGCAGGTTATAAATTATGTATTGTAATTTTAAATAATTTTGAAGATGCCCAGAGGTAATGATAAGGTTTTGTACTTAATTCAAAACAAATTAATTACTTTTTAGTTGGTATGTTCTTAACAGAATTGTGGTATTTAATATAAATTGTTTGTTTATGAATTGAAAATCTCTTCCTGGTAGACCCTTTCCTACTGGGAAAAATTAAAATACTTATTCATTCTGAAATGGAACATGACACATTACTGAGTTATCTATGACCTGCAGGCACACAGAAAAGCCCCACCAAATGCTGTACTCATTTCTCTGTAACCCAGCAAGCTCCACTTTATGCTAACTCCCTTTATAGTGTCTGGAGCTGTGAAAAAATGCCAGAAATAGTACATACATTTCCCTATATTTAGTTATCACAGGACCATATGCTATAGGGAATTTAATTATTCAGTATTGTTTACTTCAAATTAAAACAGATAAAACATCAGTGATTTATACAGTCCGTCATCTAAAAAGCCATACATTCTTTCATGTAATAGGGCAAATATTTTACACAAACTACAGTGGTTTTGATTTACTACGTCTATTACATGTGATGTGAGTGCCCTACTAATTCTAAAACTGCAGTTCTGAAAAATCCCATGTAGGGTCAATTTTGACTATGCAACATATAATTGCCTATGGGCATTAGGTTTTAAATATGATTCATCCACACCCTCCCAGCCATGAATAATCATATCTTTTATTTCTCCACACCCAAAATTGAATCCAGTGTGCACAGTGGCTTTGCATTTTCCCTCCAAATGCCATTGAGTGGATTGATTTTGATTTTGTCTATGCTTTATGTTTACATTCTGGCTGAAAAATAGTGTTTAGAGAGTCCTCTCAAAGTGAACAGTTGGTATTTCTTCTGAAGAAGAAATAAAAATAAATAAATGTAGCTGTCATAATATCTTGCCACAAACTGCATTCTAACAGAAAGGTCATTTGGTTTAGTAGTAAATATGTCCTGAGGCAAAGATAAATTTAATAGAGAAGTAATAACTGATTTCAGCCCCTGTTAATGCCTGACCAAAGTAGTTAGAAGGGCAAATGGTATGAATGTCAATTTTCACATGATCATCCTCTAGAAGAGATAGCATGTAATTATAGGCAGCTGACCACAAATGTGCAATTACAGTCAGTGGAAGCTGAAGATACTTTTTATCTGTTTATTCAGAAATATTCTTCTTTTATCTTTTTATTTTTTTTCTTTTTTTTTTTTTTTTTAACAATTTCATCCTCTGTACTAGAAGCTGTTTACAGTTCTGGAGAAAAAAGCATTACAGTACTTCCAAGTTGGTATGTTGCTATGAAAGGATTTGCTTAGATTTTTTAAGATTCATCTAACAATTTTTTGGTATCAAAAGAAAGGAGAAATTTCTTTTTCTTCTTGTACCAAATAGTACCAGAAAGTACCAGCTTTTTCCAATAGGTAAAAATAATTCAGGAGAAGTTCAGGTAGCAGCAGCCCAACATGTACTTTAAAATGTAAAGTTTCATCTGGACATGCATTTGGAAAACAGAAGTACCAGAGGAGGTAAATAAGGTGGAGTTAGAGAAGAGCACTTCCTTAAGAGCAGGCTGCAAGCACTTGCTGAAGTCACTTCCACGTGAGTTCTTGCAGTTGCTATGGGAATATAAAGTGAAATGTAAAGTGACTGTGCCTAATAAGGAAGGAGGTGATCCAGGAGGGAGAAACTGCAGATGATGGCAGACAGGAAGTTGTTAAACTGGAATCTGCACCAGTGAATTTCAAAATTTCTTTGCCTTCCCCTTTTTGGTGCAGTTTGCATGCCATGAAGAAGTGTCTCTAGAATCTCAGACAGGTGAGAGGGAAGGGAAGGGAAGGGAAGGGAAGGGAAAACAGTGTTGCTTTATGTTGCCCACTGCCTTTCATGCCTCTGAAGGTCTCTCAGATGATCTCCCTGAGGTCAATACAGTGTTCTGCTTTGAAACATGCAACAGTCCTGGTTTAAGTGAGATTTTAGAATATGGTATTGTGTTTGCAGAGTGTTAGCAATCAGAAAACATCAAGAACTTGCATGTAACCGAGAAACATACACCCATGTAATGGGTATTCACTGAAAAACATGCACCCATGTAATGGGTATTCACTGAAAAACATCTGTGCTGGCTAAAGCAAACTTCTGGTTTGCATATCTTTCTGTGACCACAATGTTTGTAAAACCCTCTATTTATATTTTGCATTGTTTTGGAGTTTTTTTCATTATTTAGTAACTGAAGGTCCTTACACTGAGAAGAATGGTTTGCCTTTGAAGCTCAGAGGCACCTTTTCTTCTCCAGACATCAGGAGTGAGCAATTATTCCCTGCAATTCTCTCACTTCTATTTCCTTCTGCACTACAAAGTGAAATGAGAAGAAAAAGAGGACAAAGAAAACTTCTCTGTGTTTTAGCAAACACTATGACAGAAATGAAATTTCTGATTTTAACTTGGTACTTTATTTGCATAATGGAGCCTTTAATCTTAACTGCAACATTCCTAATACCTTAGAGGGCTATTATGGTCATGAAAAACCTGACTGACTTGTCTAAATATAGACTGGCCTTTGAGATTCCTTCAACTACCTCAGATTTCTGCAGAAAGCTGGAAGCCACCACAGAATCACAGAATCTGCTGATTTGGAAGGGACTCACATGGATCTTTGAGTCCAACTCTTAGCCCTGCACAGGACCACACAACTTATGGGACATGTGCATCCTTCTGGGCAGGAGAGGATCAGCTGGGATACCCCAGGGTATCTCTGAGTGGCACTGGATGCTTACAGACGTGTGGGCAGCTAAAATGAGTTCTCCTTCCCACAGACTGTAATGGCAGCTCAAACGCCTAACTCATACAGTTACACAAAGTTCACCCTGCAATGCTGAGCCAGGTTTAAATGAAATCTCCAAGCCTCTGCAGTCACTTCGATTCACTACATACCAGAAAAAGAGTCAGAGAAAAAGAAAATCAGCAGGTCTTGCTTGAACAAGGCTTTCAGGATTAAGTCCTGAATGCTTAGTTGTCTCTTTTTTTACAGCAGAAAGATATGTAAGAAAAGTCATTCCTTTTTTGTCTTATCAGCTTGTACAAATAGTTTTCTGTAAAAAGCTACGGTCATTTTTTGTCAGATTTAATAATGCCTGCTGATATGTAAAGTTAAATGCAGTTTTAAAAATTACACGTAGAGCCAATATGCACATTCTATCAATGTTATCCACCCTCCTAAATAATTTAAACCACACCAAATTACTCTGGTCATATGTCCATCACTTCTGAAAACAAAATCTAGTCATGAAATTAGCCTTTCCAAAATGTAACAGAGTAGGCTGTGTTGCTAAAATGTTTCATTCTTTGGAGTCTTTATTCTCTAGTAATGCAGGCCATTGCATTGAGCATAATCTACTCTGGTGTGAAATTAATGGCTTACTTTATTCTTTCTTTCTGGCTGTAAAACTAATGTCTTACTTTCTTCTGTTGGTGAGTGTTTGCTCACTGTCTCTGGAGAACATCTTCAACACTTGATTATCTTTGTTCTGATCAAAGGAGCAACCTGGAGATTGTTTAGGCTTCCTCACAGGAGGACCACATATCTTATTGACCTAAAAGGAAAAAAAGCCACAAGAAGAAGTAAAGAACACATGTAAGCAATAATTGTTACGTATCTCTCAATTCAGTTTCACTACATTTTAACAAGAAAGAAAGACTAAGCTACAAAAAGCATAATTAATTATCATACTGTGTAACACTGTATCCATAATGAATGCAGCAAACACATAATTAGTCATTTCATAGTAGAAAAAATAGTAAAAGCATTCCTTTTTAAGGGATACCAAGTGTGTAAGAAAGTCACTATGTATTTTATTGATTGTGCTGCTTTTTCCCATAAGGAAGTGTATTTTTCTGTAGACTGTACCAGAATCCTCTGAGAATGATGTGTTGTGAACAACAGCACATTTCCATTTTTTCTGTAATGCATCCCAACCACATTTTTAATATACATTGAACTTTGTGCCTTCTTTCAGGGCTGATGAATTATTATGGTATGTTCAGCCCAGCTACACAAAGATACAGTGAACAGTTAGCATGCTGGAAACTTGCATTACAACATTGAAAGATGTTAAGGCAGTGACCCAAGATGTAAATTTAGTGATATTGGACCACAGATGCTGAAAATGTCAAGGAATTTTATGTCCGGCTTTCTGATCAAGACGTCAACAGATAAAAAATCACATGAAGTCTCATTTTCTTCTTTGTAAAACATGATACTGGGCATTTTGTATGACATAGGACATCACATCCATAGCTCATTACTCTTCCTAGTCATTGAATACAACATTAGGCATATACATATATTTATTTAATAAGAAATAGTTATGCTTGTAATCACATCTGATAAGATATATTAAGCAGGCTGAACAGCATGCATTTGTGTAAGCTGGCACAGGTGAAAAACTGATACTGTACGTGACCCAAAAACTTGGTAGTCATTAGGCAGTCAACTTTTAGAGAGAACAGGGAGAGAGGAGATCAGTGTGGCCTCTAAGGCAGATATCCAGTCTTGAAGCAGAAACATATTCAAAATGCTGCCATGTGAAGGAAGGAGTGTGTATGCTACCCAACAAGGATTATTGTTTCCTATTTTATATTCCCACATGTAAGAACAGAGACAGCAAATAAATCTCATTTTCAGGTCATCATCATGCATTAAAGAGAGAAATGCAAGTCTTACAGACCATCTTTCCAACTAAGAACTCCTGTAGAGCTAGTTAAGAAATACATTTAAAATTTAAAATAGAATAAACACATTTAATTTTAATGAGTTTGTTGGCATACGTGTTGTATGTGGTAATAATGAAAGATTCACTTAATGCACTTGCTTAGGTCAGTGAAAAGAAGAATCAGCATTATTGCTACATAAGAACTAGTGTTCTCCTTATGATTTGAAATTGAAGTTGAAAGTGAGTAGTCCTTTTAGGGTGTGATTCACATGTCACAACCCAGGCAGCCAAGTTATAGTTTAGACCCCCTTCAAATGACATGCCTGAATTTACCTCTGGAGGTATGACTGATGTCCTTTAAGGGATTACACTCTGAACATCACTTGAGGCATGCATCTCAATGTTTCTTCTTAGAGGCAGTGTCTCTCTGGACAGCATCTTACTACATTCCTTCTTGTCTTCAAATTCAGTTTCAAACCTACTTCACTCTATTTCTCTCAGTACTTCTTCCTCAAACACATTAAAGCTTACTCCAGCAGCTTAACTGGACTCCCCATTTTCCCCCCTTGCAAGTCTCTACACCTTTTCTATGCTTCATGCATCCTTATGCAAGTTTGCTCCTTCAGTGCCAGCCTCTGCAGCAGCTTATCACAACAGCCCCCCCTATGCCAATAGAATGGAGATATACCAGAGACACAAAATTTTTCCATCCTTTTATTTTTCTCACTTTTATCATATTCTTTTATGCTCACTGATGTGACACAGGGAGCATTATGCTTATGATCAGCTTATGACAAAGCAACTGATTGACTGAGTTGCCTCAGTTCCAGATTCCCATACACTCTTCAGCTACTCTGTCTTACCAAAAATAAAAATAAGGTTTAACAGAGAGTGAGAGTCAGATCCAGATGTTTGGGAAGGAGTCAGATCCAGATGTTTTGCCTCCTGACAGGCCTGGGTCAAGTGTGTGGGGTGCTATGGGTCTCAGGTTCCTTGCGCATCTGAACAAAGCACCTTTGCTGCCCAGGCAGCCGCAGAGCCTGACTGCAGGGTGAGAGCCTGTGGGGAGAGGAAAAACAGGGTGGAGGTGACCTGCTGGCTAATGCAGCCCCTGAGCAGATGAGTAACAGACCTTCAGGTCAATGGAAAAAAAAAAAAAAAAAAAAAAAAAAAAAAAAAAAAAAAAGGAAGACAAAAATAGATAAATTAGCTCCACCTATAGTAAACTGAAAAAACCTCATATACATTCACCTTCACTAGGAAAACAAGAGAATCCACAGCTCTCTGTGTTTCTTGAATTTACAGTAAAGTCTCATTATATTTTGCTCTGGATAAAATGAAAAAAAAAAAAGAAAATCAATAATTTTTACAGTCATAGTGCCTTGGAATATGGATGATACTTGTTTTACACATGCTTTACATAGACAGTTGTTTCAAAATACTGTCTTACAGCCTTTCTCTGCTCTCTTTGAGTCAATGTCTCAAGAAATGCATTTGCAACAGTAGGAAATCTGCATTCACTGATACATGTAAATACAAAATCTTTCTTAAAAAGTAATCTTGGGTAAACTTTATGCATAAAAATAACATTAAAAACCAGTAATTATCTGAAATGCCTTCTTAAGATCTTATTTTTCCCCGGTGTTGAAAAATTCTGAAAATTGTAATAAAAAGAATTTGCACAACACCACATACACCTCTGCCATTCTCACAAAGATATGCATGACAGTAATCATACTGCTGAGAACTCAGTTCTGTTAATGAGGGCAGCAGCACAAAATTCACTCTTTAGCAGTCACTTCTTATTCAGACACAGTTTCTGAAGGATGAGCTACTTCAGCATTTACAATGGTGATGTCAGCATCTCTGTAACCTTTCTCATATCTGTGATATTTAAACCTCTGGGACCACTGCCTTTGCGTGGTGTTGGTTCCTCTTTCTGTGTTTGGTTACACCACGCTCATATTGCTCACCCAGCCGAACCCAGCCTGGGGTTTTTTAACTGTTCAGTAGTATCTGTCACTTCTATGTCATTAACTTAATGTGCATAACAAATTTACTTTTGCCTCCCTCACTAGCCTAGTCTTCATCATCACCTTGTTTCTGCAGTGAACTTGTGCATATGAAAATGTCATGTACTCTTGCCTTGCCTTCAGGTGCCTGTTCTGTCTGTGAGCCAAATAATTTATAACTCATCCCAGTACAGGGCTAATGACAGTCTAAAAACCAGAAAAATACAATTCTCATAATAATTTCTGCTTTATATTTATTTTTTAATGCTGTCTTTATATGTACAGGAAGAAGTACATGTGATAAGCATAACACCAGCTCGTCATATTTCTTGTGCTTTCTGAAGGACTTCAACTATATTCATTAGCTACATTGTTTCCTAATTTTTAGTCTTTGGACTGCAAAATTAACATTCCAATTGAGAAATCATTCAGTGCTATTATTGCCAGTCTTGAGAGACTGGAATCATAAGTTTGAGAGAAGAGCAATGCTCTCACTACCCTACTGAACTAATAAATGACCATTTTGCAGCAATATCAGGTCAGAATCTATTCTTACAATCTTCCAGTGCCACTGAAATGGGATTTCCTCTGAATGTTTCCAAAAACTGAGCATTTTTCTTGGCTTCAAAAACAAGAGAGTGTGAAAAACGATCCTCAAAGGGGATGAAAATAGAAAAGTGAAACTGAAAAATCATCAGAAAAATAATTCAGTGAGATACCTCTCACTGAATTTCAGGGAGACTTAAAGATTTCCACAAAATTTTAAAGCAGGCAAGCCTCAGCAACTTTCTAGGATTTTTTCTCTCCTTTTTTTTTTCCTTTTTTGAAATATTCTTAAATACCACACAATATTTAAGGGCATAAAAAGAAACCTCTGAAAATTATAAAACTCCTGATTTTCACAGTTCAGACAAACCTATTGTCATTATAGTCAGCATGCTATTATTACACACAATTTGTATGCCACAGTATGATGACTGAGTTAATTAAAAGCTCTCGTAATAACCACGCAGTTAAATTGCAATTAGTGCCACACATGAACTTTATGGCAGTTTGATTTTCCTTGGTGTGATTCCTTAGAATGCCTACTTATGATTACTCACAGTTTGGAAAACTGGAGCATTATAAACCTTTGTATTTAAACAGGACTGCACAATAATGGGAGCATCATAGCAACAATGGTCAGGCACTGTTCTTTAAGTTCAGACACTCAATATGTGAAATGTGTCACATTCTTTATTTCAGTTTTGGTTTGTGCCTTTTGCTCTTTTTTCCCACTACACAAATGGTTCTTTCTGACCTCAGCATTTCTACTGAAATTATTTTACATCAAATGACTGAAGCAAACAATGCACAGTCCTGTGATACACTTCAAACTAGATTTACCAAGTCTCAGCAGACTCAAATTTTAAATACCTGCATGGACTATGGTTACACTGATGCCCTGAAGGTTTGTGAGACAGGATCAATCTAGTAAACACCTAACACATACTCCATTTACAGGAAATCACAGAGATATATACATACATGTATCAAAAACTTACAGTGCTTGCTAAATTAAAAAAAAAAAAATGCAAGAGTTAAAAAAAACCCTTTAAATAAAGGAAAGGGCAGTTTTCAGACTCCTGATTCTGACACCCAGCCAGATCTGAGTAAAAGACCAAGGGGTTTTGTACCCAGAGAGGTGTCTTCTCCCCTGTCGCTCAATGCACAGCACAGTCTGACTAGCTATGCCATAATCTGATTTTATTTATTGCATGTTTTAGCTAGTGATTAGTCTAGTGGTTTTCAATTCTAACTGTCAGATCAGAAACTTGCCATATTCCTTACAGTTAAATCCCCTCAAACACTCGTGAGCAAATGGACAGC